CATTTATTTCCATCCCATAAACTCCTCATATGTAGATTCTCCCTCCCCGGATTTCTGCAAGGCTAGGGAAAAATGTCAACAGTCTTTCTCTAAGTTTTGTCCTACTTAAACACACACACCCACCCCTCACCACCATCAGATTTAAGCTCCCCTGGCACAGGCTCCCTACTCTAAAAACGACCGGTAATTTTGCAATTTATTCCTAGGACAGCTAAAACTATGTGAGGATGAGGAAAACCAGTTGGCATTGCCTGGTGTTTCATGAGAAGTCTGAACTAAATTCTAGGAATATAATCCTTCTTTCCCTCTACTCCTTCCACAGCCTTGAAAAATTTTAGGACCAGCTTTATTACAGAAGTGGCACGTAACAGTTCCGCTATCGTAAGGCCCACAGAGCAAAGCATTAAATGAAAGTTTAAACAAAGAGATCAACAGAATGACCGCACATCTTCAGCTTCGCCATCCCAGGCCCTGACAACAATTCAAGCAGTGCAATCACATCAGTATCGCAAATACCCATTAAGGGGGGGGATAAGTATTTATTGCTATACAGCAACAATTCCTCATGCTGTTCAAACAAAGTATAAAGCTCTAAACCAACCACAAATTAATGTCTTGGTAAAGAAGTGGAAAGACTGTTTATTTAGCTTGGGCATTCTCCCACTCTACACTGTGCTTGCCCCTGTAAATTTTAAGAGAATAAGGTAGGTTAGCCAGCCCTAGCCTTTTCATGGGTCGTTCTTCCAGCTCCAGTACATGTTTCCTTCCTTCCCAACCAGTGCTACCAGGTAGCAGTCTTGACTGCTAAGCATTCACAGTAGTCACCCCAGCCTCCTTCAAAAGCAAGACTTTGCATTGACAGCTGCAAGTGGATAAATCCAGCCGAGAGCAGGAAAGCGCCGCTCACATGGCAGTCACCGAACAGACACTCCAAACCTAGCACTCGGGTGGAACCACTGCCATGCAGAATGGCTGAATCCTCTTTTTTTGGGCCTGGGAATCATGATGAAACGTATTGATTGCCTTGTCTTACCTCATTACTCAGACTAGCAGCAGCTTTGAAGCAAACAAGGGCTGTGAGTGATAAAGTAACTCATTCCCAGTTTGCATCACCCCACCTATACTAACACTGTAAGGTAAAAAAAAAAAAAAAAAAAAAATGTACATCATACACCACCCCCACCCCCACCCCCCCTGCAAAGCTACACCGGCATTCATTTATTTACCTTGAACACCCGTAGCACCAAAGCTTTCCCAGCACAGTGTCACCCTGGGCACTCTGGCAGCTAGCTCACACCGCAGTGAAGGCTGGCCTGCAACCTAATTAACAAGGGTGCATCACCCAGCTGGGCTGCAGGGCTATCTCGGATTGCCCACCTGAACAGATCCAGAAAAACCAGGCCAGAGTTCATCATCACTATGCTGGGGTAAACACTGAACCCCTCCCTTGCAATAGCAAAGGCTGCTAAAAAAAGGCTTACACTAGAAAATGTTTAGTTTGCACAAGAAACAAGCAGCAGAAACATACTCACACCATATGATGGAAGCTCAGTGATTTTTGCATCACCTGTACCGTTACAAACCTCACACACAACGGTATTTTTCTCTCTGCCACAGCAAGAGTAAGAAGGTAGTGGAGTATGTCTGAGACAGAAGCAGCCTCTTCCTGAAGTAGCATGTGAAAACTTCTCTCCAAGTTACCTGAATTTAAGGGCAACGGGGAGCAACTGGGAAGCCAGTGCTGCCTGTCCAGGTCTCCAAACCAGAGAGTGGCATGAGGAAGAGCTTGCAAGCTCACAAGCTCACAAGCAGGATTCCTTTGACCGCTATTTTGCGCCCAAGAATTCTCCACTTTGAGTTTATGTTATTCCTATTTCTTAAACCAACGGTCCCATTTGTAAATACAATGTAAGTTGTGGTCACGAGGTCAGTGCAGATGTACATAGGGACAGACACCAGCTGCAAGGTATTTTTTTAGAGCAAGCACAATGTTGAGAAGTCATGCAAAACAGCACGTTACTCTCTTTCATGCACCTGCTCCACCAGCACTGCTGATCTCATCTGTCTCTTGGCAGCAAGGAGCGTTACGGATGGGACATGCTTCCATCCTGTGTTTCTGGTGTGGCAGTCTCTGCCTTAACGCCCCGTGAAGCTGTTGCACACACTGGTGTAGACTTGATACTACACAACACGGACCTCCTCTAATTGTACGGTATCTGTCATTTCACATCTTCCTCTAAGGTAAAGGAAAGAACGAATTTCAATCAATTTTTCTGTATTCAAATTTGTAAAAGTGAGGGATGCACAGCTATGTTAAAGAACCACTAATACTGGGGCACACCCTGGGGCTGCCTCAATAATCCTCATGCCTTTTGTTCCATCTCACGCTACAGATTTGCTACAATTCAGCATCTTAGCTTTGCCAACAGCCATGTAACTACACCATTGTGGTTTGTTTCATGCTACAGGACAGTTCCTACAACAAGGATACACGAAGAAAAAGCAACTGTTTTCCTAGGGTTTTCATTTCTATTCCACCATCACCTGTGACGTATTTCATGCTGTTCAATTCTATACCTGAATTGCTCAGAAACTCATGAAACAAAGACCTGATCTGGCTAATTTTCATCAAGCTCCTCCCTTTTCTGAAAGGGAAAAAAAACCCGCACCTCTCTTACTCACCTCTTACTTGATGGGTTGACCCTGGCTGGACACCCAGGTGCCCACCAAAGCTGCTCTATCACTCCCCTCTTCAACAGGACAAGGGAGAGAAAAATCTACCAAAAGGCTCGTGGGTTGATATAAGGACAGGGAGAGATCATTTGTCAGTTACCATCTTGGGCAAAACAGACTCAACTTGGGGAAATTAGTTTATTACCACAATTCAAATCAGAGTAGGAGAGGATAAAAAAACCCCACCAAACCTGAATCTTAAAACACCTTCCCCCACCCCTCCCTTCTTTCCTGGCTTAACTTTACTCCTGATTTTTCCCTACCTCCTCCCTCCAAGCAGCACAAGGGGATGGGGAATTAGGGTTGGGGTCAGTCCATCACACACTGTCTCTGCCGCTCCTTCCTCCTCAGGGGAGGACTCCTCACACTCTGCCCCAGCTCCATCCTGGGGTCCCCCCACAGCCCCCAGACTGTTCAGGCGTGGGTCCATCCTTTCCACAGGATGCAGTCCCTCAGAACAGACGGCTCCAGCGTGGGTCCTTCCCACAGGCTGCAGTTCTCCACAGACTGTTCCAGCGTGGGTCCATCCTTTCCACAGGATGCAGTCCCTCAGAACAGACGGCTCCAGCGTGGGTCCCCCGCAAGGTCACAAGCCCAGCCACCAAACCTGCTCCAGCCTGGGCTCCTCTCTCCCTGGGGTCACAGGTCCTGCCAGGAGCCTGCTCCAGCGTGGGCTTCCCATGCGGTCACGGCCTCCTTCAAGCATCCATCCACCTGCCCCGGTGTGGGTTCCTTCCTGGGCTTCAGGTGGAGATCTGCTCCACCATTAACCTCCATGGGCTGCAGGGGCACAGCCTGCCCCACCAGGGGCTGCCCCAAGGGGCATCTCTGCTCCGGCACCTGGAGCTCCTCCTGCCCCTCCTGCTGCACTGACCTTGGTGTCTGCAGGGCTGCTCCTCTCACATCCTCTCACTTCTCCCTCTCTGGCTACTGTTCCACAGCAGGGGTTGGGTTTTGTTTTTTTTTTTTTTTCCTTCTTGACTACGTTATCCCAGAGGTGCTACCGCCATCACTGATGGGCTTAGCCTTGGCCAGCGGTGGGTCGGCCTTGGAGCTGGCTGGCATTGGCTCTGTCGGACACAGGGGAAGCTTCTGTCTCCTTGCCACGCAAACCCAATACACTTACCTCAATCGGCTCTTCGATGCCTGCTTTGTATTTATTCATGATCACACCTTCTCTCATCTCTCCTCCCACCGGCTTTCCTCAGCCTCCAACACTTTGCTTTTCCTCAGTAACCATCATTTTGCTTTTCCTTGCTGGGGTCTTGGTAAGGCTCTGGAAGCTGGAACATTCAATGACCTTTAAAAAGTTCTTGTGGAAGTCTGGCTTCTTCAACTCATTGCTCCAGCTCTGTGATCTGATTAAAACTCTCAGAACACCTCCCTCAATATCTGAGCAACTGCCAGGATCTCCCATTTCACTGTTTATAGGCTACACAAGGCTGAGACAAATTTCTCCTTGTCTGAATACAAACAAGCAGTGACAATTCTATGCTTTTTAACCAAATCACGGCTAGCAGCGTAAGAGCAACTTTCTCAATCTAGTCTGCTAATTGCAGAGAGCTACCACCAATTGCTTCCTATAGCATGGAAAACAAAGGAAACCTAAACCAGTAACAGTGACAGCAAGAAGCAACTAACAGCTGTTGGTAACTGGGTACCAGTAGGTCAGAACTGGACAGGTTACAGATTACTAACCCCAGGACAACAGGAAAAATGAACTTTTGGGAAAAGTAGGAGGGATAACACACAGGTCAAATAGATGAAACCTCTTCAATGCATTCCGGAAAGAAGTCTTAGGACATCCAAGACTGCCACTCTGTGACAGTCCTTTAAAAATGCTCATTTTTTTTTTGTAAGAGTTCTTAAACATTGGTCAAGTTAGATCCATCCACCAAATTAAAAGGGTAACATTTCTTGGACAATTCTATACATTTTATGTTCATGCAGTAAAGAACCTAAATAGAGAGCAGCTCTCCATAGTAACATGGGAGTAAAATATCATAATTAAACATGATTTATTCACCATTGCTGCCTATATAAGCATCATTTATTTTATTTGCTGTAAGACTTGCATTTGTTTCTCCTCTCGACAGATTTGTAAATGAGAACTATTTTGCAACTCAAACGTTCTAAGCTGTTTAAATGAAAATCATTATTCAAATTTATTTTTTCCAATCGAGAGTCAACTCTCAGTAAGTCCTAGAAATCCTGACAAATGTTTCAGAGTATAAACCCAAAGCATTTTAAGCTTTGAAACACCACTGCATAGCTTCATCAGCTTGACATAAGCAAGTAAAAAATAAACCCTTATTTCCCACTTGTTCAGACTTCTGTAAGAGCTTTGCCCTGTACCTGGAAATCAGAAAACTGGATACGCTTTCTTTTGGTTCTAGTATAACACAATCTTTGCAGCTATTTTTTAAGTTCGATAACACATAACTTCAGAATTAGGAACAAAACCAAATGAAACTTCTTCACTCAAAGTCTAAAGCAAGCAACCAAAACCAAACTGACAGTAGCACTGTGCTATTATCTCATGTACCGTTTTCCCTCTCTCAGTTTTAATTAGGTTAAGTTTAAGAATACAGATACCCTGCTGTTGAGATACCTGTAACTGTGTTAGCACTGCTACAAACATACAACTTCACTCGGTATCATAATGCCACCATAACTTTATTCCATTCTCAAATCTATCATATTCTTGTCCTTAATGATGCACTATTTAGTTGTTTGCATTCAAATATGCATATAAACATCCAAAAGAGTTACCATAACAGTTTTTATTAAAAAAACCTAATGTACATGTTTTTCCCCAGTACAGCTATATTTTTCTTAAAAAGTACTGTACGTATCAAACATTTAAGGTTTATCCCATCGCTGTCAATTGTCTTTGAAGAGCTGTCAAACATCTCCAACTTGAATGAACTGCAGTATAGCCTCAAGAAAAAGCTTTTAACTTTCTAAATGTATGAGAAGAGTATTTTGTGGCATGAAGACAACATGCCGTTAACAAGTAATCCTTGTGTTTACAGCATTCTTCCAGGAATGATATAAACTCCCAAATCCCAAGTGATAATTCATACCCTGCATAAAACTAACACAAGTTACGTTGAAGTTATTCAAATGATAGATAGCATTTGGAAAAGTGTGTGAACATTCATATTTTTAACAGCTCTTTAAAGAGGTAATGGTGCAGATTAAGTACAGGCTTTTTGCCTCAGTATAATACACATTTGAAATCAAAATAAAACATGGAAGACCAATATCTTTACATTTTATTCTTCAGAAAAAGAAGAATCTTAAAGAAAGCATTTAGTAGTCCACTTGTGCTTAAAATATTCAACGCATGAGAAAGCCAAAAGAAAACAAAATACACATTTTTGTACACCATGATCAAAAAGATAACGTTATAAATTTTCAGAAATTGCACTGTATTTAAAACACTCCCTAGAATATGCTCCAGTTCTACGTATGGCTACTGAGGCTGCCTGACACAGTTCCTTTTCTGCTTTAATTGCCAACCTGTGGAGGCCCTTCAGGGATGAGTGATGTGAAGAAGGTTGTGATAAAGGACCAAGCAGAAGCCATGAATCCAGGCTGCTGCTCTGTACTGGCATCGTCACCTGCATCTTCTCTGCTGTCTTCATCAATCCCATCATCCATAAGTCGTTCCTTTAAAAACAGAAATTGAAGCAATTCAACTGCTTCTTTTCAGAGCTCTGACATAAGGTAACCAGCAGTATCTTCCTACATTAACTTCTCTCAGAACCTCCTGAAGAATAACTAGCATGAAGAAAAGTCTGTGACTGAAGTAGAGACAATCAGTAACTGTCGGACTGGAAACACAGAGAATTTAAGCAGCCGGCACAACACTGAGGACAATGCTGAAAGCTTTCTCGTTAAACAGGCTGCATTTCAGAAAAGTTGATTTTCTATCTGGACATCACCGCATACTTGACAATATAATACATAGGAGTCTCAAAAGGCACGTCTGCTCTTACCATCTCTTCAAGATCAGGGTTATTTGCATGTTGCCCATCACGGTTCACTTCCACATTATTGGCTGCCTGTTGTTGGCCTCCCTCTTGCCTAAAGGGGAACCATCCAGCTTGGTGTCTATGTAAGAAAATGGAACAGTTGAAAATCTTTCTTTTGAAAGGAATACAAAGATTTTTCTGCTACAGATAACTACTGCAGTAAATTCTTCAAGTACTTCGAAATGAAGCTACATGTATTTTTCTGCCAGTCTGTCTTCTAGATCGAACGGCTATTCTTTGATGTCTGGGTTAAGGAGGGCCTTGCTAAGAGCTGTTCTTTTAAGTTTCAGAAGCACTGTTCACAGCCCTGTTCCTTAAATGAGTAACGTACCATGATTAGGTGATTAAATAAGTAGTATACTTTCTTTGGGTGTCCTCCCCATTTTTAAGTACTTAAGTTACATTAATTTTTAAAGGCAGCATTAATTTTCATAGCTTAAAGTTGACTTTCTGCAGAAAAAGGAATTTAAACTTCAGCTAAGGCTTGAACCACTTTACCACTGTGAAGTAAATAAGCCTCTCCTACGTTTTCAAGTGTCTGTATTTTGATTTCAACCATTATATCTGCATGAGAAACAGAACAGTCCTTGTGACGACAGAGACTACAGTTTAAGGAAACTCTCAATGAATGGCATTAGTCCAAAGTATCAAGGATTACTGCTGTTTTCCACTTCTATTCACACCACTAAGGTATTCTGACATATAAAGGGAAGTGATGACAACAGTACTGATGTTTCTTAATAAAACAGATAGAGAGCTTGGGTCTTTTAAGATGTATTGTAAAATGATTTTTTAGTCCCTGCAATTCTACCAGACCTAGTACCCACCATACTACCATGTAACACACTGTAGTACCACTACCTTAACTCTGCCTAACACATTTTACTGCACAAATCCCATACGTTATTTTTGAAATATAAATGAGCTTAGCGCTGCAGTTTTCCTTTCAGATCCAAGCAGTAATGTTTTAAGTTTATGCAAGCATACGCTTGACCTACATGAACTTCCCTCACTCCCACTTCCTAAATTTCCATCCCAAAATTCTACATTTCTACAATCTGTTAACATCACCAACATTTAAGAGCACCATATTTCAGGTATAAGTGGTAGCCAACTCACTGTAAAAATGTTTTGAAAACTCTTTCTTTTTTCATATCAGCTTCTCTGCTTGTCTGAAATTCAATTTATTTTTCTTTCCCCACACCATACCGTAAAGGAGCAGTACCCAAACTTTTGTATTTGGGTAACTTTTCAGTTTAAATGGATTATACTCTAGGACCATACTCCGCATAGCAGATCTGCAGCTGTAGTCAACTGTTGTACTCACAAGTAAACCAGCAGCATGGCTCCCATTACCATGACAAATCGACTGAAGGAAGAATAGAAGTATACAATGCTCAGAAGAATTGCTGCTCTAGAGAACGTGTACATCCAGTCCAGCCAGTCCCGGTTGAAGTCCTCCTCATTCACTACTGGGCCACCCTGTGCATTCATCTGAACATTCGGGTTTACAGGCCTGTTCTCCTGGACGGCTACATTTGGCACTGCTGCGGGCTCATTTGCAGGAGCACGTTCTGAATTTACAGCCTGCGCAACTGCAGATCTCACTGGCTCAGTGCTGGAAGTCACTTGGGCTGAAACAGCAGCTTGGCTAAAAATTTAAACATAAAACTAGTTTGTCAAAAACATACACCGAAATCCCTAAACCTATTCTTGTCATCTTTCCTACACTACTAAAAAACAAAGTTTCAGATGTAATACATGTCAAAACAAACTCCACTTTCCCTTAAGTCTTTACTTATTAATACATTAATTTAATTTCAATCCAAAACTGGATTTTATAATTTGCTGGACAAAACTTAAGTGTTAAAACAGCATAGCCAAACAAAATAAACACAGACATTTTGATCCTGCAAAAAACATTTAACTTTTTAATACCTCCTTTTCATTAGTCTAACTCAATACTACCCAAGATAATGCAGACTTACTATTGCATGTAGTACTGACGTGCATACATTTGTTGCCACCAGATCATCTGTAGGGGACTGAATGCAGGATACATAGAAAATCCAGCAGGAACACCTTGGCCTGGAAATTGGTTGCCTATATTGCTATAAAAGGATTCAAAGAAAAATCTTCAGTTCTAAATTGCCCCATTTATAATATGTGCTAATATTAAAAACAAAGTAGCATTCCTCCTCTCATTTGTCCCCCTACAATAATGCACTGAAATAACACTGAAACATGTAGTAAGATCATCCCACCCATTCCAAAAAAGCACTACATTTTCATACAAGAAATTAATAGGCAAAGTTATTTCTCTATAAAGAGGATTTGTTTTTGTACTTGGACATCTGTCACTAGCTGCATCTCTGGGACAACACCATACTGAAAATTTTTCAAAATTGTGTATGTAACTGCAGAAATTCTTCCATACAATTCCTTTTAAGTTCAAAGGTCACCCTTAAAGGTGCTGCAGGAGCTGTAAAGGGAAAAAACTTATAGCTTCTGTAACTTTCTTTTAGAAGCAATACCTGGAATGCTACTGCGATCAAAGACATGAAGAAATGAACATGAGCAAAACCAACAACTAATCTTTCAGATACGGCTTCTGAAAAATGCAACTTACAACACTGTAAATTATTTACTTCCCCCTCCCCTTAATATTTTGAGCATACGCGATTCTCATTCCTATGGGTTTTTAACTCTGGTTCACATGCAAGAGATATAAAGCTCCTATACATAAGTTTTAGGTTTGGTTTTGTCTGCTTTTAAACTTCTTAGCCTCTCTTACCTCCTAGAGCATATAGCAT